GAGCAAGCTGGGTTAACAGTTAAGAAGGAGAAATGCGAGTTTCTGGTTGACTCAGTCGAATACTTGGGTTTCATAATTGATAAGTCTGGCAGGCGTACCGGTATTTCGGATGAGAAGACAAAAGCTATCGTAGAGATGCCAGCCCCACAGGACGTAGGTCAGTTACGTTCGTTTTTGGGTATGATCAATCATTATGCAAAGTTTCTGCCAAATTTGTCGAGCAGATGCAGTTGCTTTTATAAGCTGCTCAAGCAGTCAGTGCAGTAGCAATGGAATTCAGGTTGCCAGAAAGAATTTGTGTCGCTGAAAGATGACTTGACGAAGGCGACTCAGTTAGAGCATTTTAATCCTGAATTGCCGTTAGTGTTGGCAGCCGATGCATCGAAGTATGGCATCGGTGCAGTGTTGAGCCACAGGATGCCTGACGGTACTGATAAACCGATAGCGCATATATCGAAGACGTTGACATCAGCAGAGCAGAATTATGGTCAAATCGAAAAAGAAGCTCTCGGGTTGGTTTTCGGCGTGAAACGATTTCACCAGTATTTATACGGTCGAGAGTTCCTCTTGTTAACTGACCATAAGCCTCTGGTTACGGTGTTCGGAAGCAAGAAAGGTGTACCAGTAGTTACTGCAAACAGGTTGCAGCGGTGGGCAATTGTGCTCATGGGTTACACGTTTCGAATCGAGTACCGTAGAACGTCAGATTTTGGTCAGGCAGATGGTCTCAGTAGACTGCCGATTAAGTCGTCAGATTTGTTTGACGAAGAAGATTTGGGCAAGACAGAAGTGGTCAATTTGGTAGAAAGTGAGATTCTGTCTAGTATGCCAGTATCAGCTGATGTGATTCGTGCGGCTAGTCTAAAGTACAGTGAGATTGAACGAGTCAAGCAGTTTCATTTAAACGGATGGCCGAGCAAGGTATCGACGAAGCGGTAGAGAAAGTAGCCGGGGAGTGTGAGATTTTTTCGATGTTAGCGAAAGATCCGAGAAAGGTACCGTTACAGCAGTGGCCGGTCCCACAGGGCCCGTGGCATCGGTTGCACATAGATTTTGCTGGACCGTTCAAGGGTCGAATGATACTCGTAATTGTTGACGCATTCTCGAAGTGGCTAGAAGCATTTGAGGTCAAGAAAGCCGATACCAGTAACGTGATTTTCATCATGGAAAGTCTGTTTGCGCGATATGGACTGTGTACTGATATCGTCAGTGATAATGGACGTCAGTTTACGTCGGAACAGTTTCAGCAGTTTTGTACTGAAAGAGGGATTAAGCATATGACTATAGCCCCGGGACATCCGCAGTCCAATGGGCAAGCCGAGCGCTACGTTGATGTAGTGAAGAAGGGCATAGAAAAAGGCATGCAGTCCGGGAAAACGTTTGCCGATGCGTTACGGGAGTTCCTTAGTCATTTTCGTACTGTACCAAATGGTACTACTGGAAAAGCTCCGTGCGAGTTGTTTCTAAATCGAAAGGTCAGGACTATATTAGACCTGGTTCATTCCTGTAGCGCAGGTGCATGAGAAAGCCCGAGGCAGGCAGAAGCGCAATTTTGATAAGCGGACGAAAGCGCGAGCGTTCATAACAGGACAACTAGTCCAGGTAAAGGATTTCCGGTTGAACAGTGCTGATAAGTGGGCTGCAGGGCAGCTGGTAAAACCCATCGGTAACACGATGTGGGAAGTTAAAGTGAACGGTCAAGTGTGGCGAAGACATGCTAACCAGATGCTACCACGCCGTTGGTTGACCGCCGAAGAGCACGCAGAGTCGCAGATGGCGGCGAGTGCACAGAGAACACCAAAGCCCGTCCCGATGCTACCACCGGTAGAGGTTGCGACGCAGCGTGAGCGTAAGGCGTCAGAGGCGCGACGCATGGTTGCGGCGCCAGAGGTGCGACGTGAACCCGCGGCACCAGTTGAAGATGCGCGACGCCTGGAGGCTGCGCTTCAGGCGCGACGCGATGTTGCGGCGCCGAAATCTGAGCAGGTAAGTATGCAGGCTGCACCGCAGCCTGTGCCCCCTGTTGTTATTGCAGGTCCAGACCGCAGACCGCCACCCCCCGTGAAGGCGGAAGTCATGGCTCCCACGGCCGAAACGAAGCCTCCAAAGAAGCCATCGGAGAAGGCTGCTGCAAAGCCACCGAAAGTTCCGAAGGCCCCGATCCCGGAAGCAGAACTCCGCCGAAGCGATCGGACAAAGAAGATGCCGGATTACCTCCTCAAAGACTATGTGACGAAAAAGATTTTCGTAGAATTTCCGCCGATTTAAAATTAATATTTATTCCTGTTTTCATTGTCCGTGTGTTTTATCTTATTGTGGGGGAGTGTAGTGTATGTACTATAAAGTACTGTAGTACTTTATATGAGCCTAGCAACGTTGCAGTATCTCTGAGAGAATGTCTGTATGTTTTCCTACTTATATATTTAGTCTATCATCAGTCGTCCTACTGTACACATCTAATAAAGTATTATTAGATACTTCACACCGACGCTGCTGATTACGATAGTCTATCGGGAATTTCTTTGGAGCAGTTGCAGCGGCAGCTCATACTTAATTGGTTCGGGACCGGCGACTGGCAGACTGATTACCGGTGAGGAATTGACTTCCCAACGTAGGGCAAAAACAACAGTTTGTATTGTTGAGCCTCTTGTGCATATGCAGTCAGTATGTCCATGTTCCGATTACTCGTTTTCCTTTTCATTGACATGTTAGATATAGTTTCTAATGGGAATCTTCGCTTGTGGCAAATACAAAGTAGTTAATTCGAGTGAGGTGTCTACTTTACCCGAAATTAAACAGAGTATGTGATTCTTTGTTTTTCATTCTAAGCTCTGTTCAATGCTTGATTATGATAAAATCATGAATAGTCCTTGATTCCTGAATAGTCATTGATTCATACGTAATAAGCCCCCTCCCTTACCCGTTTAAAAAATTGCGCCTCCCCCGAATTTACCGCCTCGAGGGTGTTTTTAAATGTTAAGCGCCAGAAAATGATAGATATACCGCAAAAGGCGCAGCTTGCTCTTCATAATAATTATTGGCATTCAATAAATAAACAGAAAACGGTCACAAAGAAAATGTGATGTTATCCTCCAGAATGCTGCTGGCAAGGTTGTGAAATGGCAAATATGTACCGGTACAGTATCTACTGCGTTCAGTTTCAGTAGAACAAGGTGCACAGTTGTTTGAAAAGTTGCAATCCCCTCCAAAACATACTGTTTAAAAAATACATAGTACCACCCCCGAAATAACGCCCCTTTCCCGAAATTAGCCCCTCTCCTCCAGGACATTTGAACTTTTGCACCCTAGGGGTGAAAATTCGATAATTATGGTAATTTATAAAGGATAAGCGAGCCAATTGAGTGCGATAAGTATTGATTCACTGCTGTACTGTGCACCAGGCTCAGGATCTTCCTTGATAAGCAGACTAAGCTCTCTAAATATATTTTAATTTCCGCTGTGTTCGTAAGTGTAAGAAAACTGACGAAGAACTTGCGAGTTAATCGTAAGCGGTGTTTGCAAGTCCGATCAACCACGTATTTAGCGATACATGCTAATGGCCATATGCAACGCGGTTATTGTATCAAGATCTGAATCTTCGAGCACATCTACGATTTCATTACCGCTTAACACTGTTGAGGCACAGCAAACCGGCTGATTAAAGCCTGCGTGACTTCCGGTAGCCGCACCAGCCATCTGCGCCAAACTCTTCGCGCGAATTTTCAGCGTTCATTTGCCTCTCAAAACTGCCACGCGCATATATAACGTTTTGGTTTAGTTCAATAGCCCTCATAAGGAGTGCGCCTTATTCTCAGCAAGGATGTTTCCACTTTTATTCAGACAGTTATCGTTATGACATAAATTTGTGAAGTAAATCCGTCAGCCGAAGGCACTGTCCCGACTTCGGACACAGTTTCACTGCAATCACGGAAAATTTGACCAACAGTAGCTTAACTATCCTCATCGTCTATCTCTCAGAGAGAATGTCTAAGTTCGGACGTTAGTGGTTCACTGGTTATGAACCTATAGAACCACTTCAAAACCAAAAGTGAACTAAACACACTAGCTGTTACTCGCTGGCACGCTGCTACACTATTTCACTTCCACTTTCATATAAATTTAATCAAACATAGTTGGATCAAGTTGCACTGTGGATGCGAGCGGTGTGATCGTTTGTAAGTTTTTTCTGCACACTACGAATTCGATTCAGTCAAGAAAAATTAGTCAGTTGCAGGTCATCGTACAGTACGGCGCGCACGCTGCTGCTCAATGATATCGCGCTTGCTGTCGACATCATCACCGTGTCCGTTAAAACAACAAAACTGACCAATACTGTAGCGATAGAAATTAGATGTACCGCCAGTAGGAGTGTTAATTGCTTTTCTCTACTGATTATTGGTTGTTGTGTTATGAAGATCAGAATCCTAGTTTTCCTACTTTTACCGACCGCATCTCACGGTCAGAAACATCTTGAAATTAGTCTTGCTGCAGCTTGCTCCGAATCTTGCTCCGCGCCTTCCGCGCTTCTTGCCCCTGTGCTTATGCACTTCTTGCTAACGCGCCTTCCGCGCTTCTTGCATGCCCCACGCTTATGCGTTCTTGCTCCTCAGCCTTCGTTCTCGCTGAATCTTGCTTTGTGTACTTGCTAATAAACTCATGCGATGACCTCGTGTTGTGTTGCTTAACCGCCATGGGATGATCGTGCATCTCCCATCTTTGTCACCATGTAAGCGGTAGTCAGCTTCCGGTCAGCATCGCTGCCGACCGTGCCAGCCTTTCCCGCGCTAACAGCCGACAGATCGTGGTAAGGTGGATTAACCAACCCACTAGAACAGCAGTCAAACCGGCTGCTGTTACAATACAGTCACGGTTACAAGCTGTCACTGCGTAAGACAGACCGTTCAATTTGTCTAGTTCGTGCTCTTGTGACATACGCGGCGTCAAGACTCGAACTAGGAATTAAGCATGAACCGCTTTTCATACAGTCCAGCAGAGCTTACCTGACTCGTCAAGACGTCGATCGAACGCTGAAGCACCTGCTGCGCCTCCCGCTGAACATCACCGTCACCGTTACGGAACCCACAGCTTCCGCATCGGTGGCACCACAGCAACCGCTACTGGAGGATCCAGCGACAATGAAATCCAGCGCCTGAAGGCTGAGATGCTGGAAAAGCAACTGTTTTACCGCCTACGTCCGCAGCCAAATTCCAACGGACGGAATCAATCCTGGATGTTGTTTGGGGTTTGTTTGGGGCCTTCGGTTGCGAAGGGCACTAGTCGCTTTCTTCCGCCGACCCCCGATCGGCCGGCTTCTCGCTAACCCACGGTCACCGCACTGACCGCACACAGCTGCTCACGAAGGTACCAGTCGCCCAGTAGCCGGAGTGCCGGCACCCACAGTGGTCACGGAAGCGGAAACATTAATAAATTAAATTGCAATGTGAACATTTGGAGCTAAATGCTAATCCAACGGTATTGATAAGTTAACAATTCACGGCAAACAACAATAATAAATGAAATTACAAGGTGAACATTCGGAGCTAAAGGCTAATCCAAAGGCTCTACTTGACAACATTATACGTTGTAGAGTAGAGCTCGACAACCTATCATGCCTCTAACCTATGAACCCTGCGCTCTTGCAATATTTTGTACTCAGATCACCGTGATATTTACTTTTAAAAAAATGTTTTCAACTCCTTCGTGCTGCCTTGCCGGCTCGCTTGTAGCCGGCAAGCATATTGACATGTTCACGGTTCACGGTTTGAGCATATTTGCCGGGGGGAAATCCTTGTGAGCACTTTTGACCGGCGAAAATGCTCACGATTGAGGTCACATAATTATATATTGTGCACGCAATTTTTCTTTAGAAAGAACAAGTTACTCAAATAAGTCACTTATCTTCAAACAGAGTGTAGGTATTATCTTTTAGTGTTCTCATAAATATGTTCACTGCTGCAAAATATGGTTAACCTTAACTTGGCGGTATCTTGTACATAATTCTAATTAAAATGTTTTCTCGTATGCTGTCCGCGGATTGAGATAATGTTCCGTTTAAAATTTTCATTTTCTTAGTCCATAATCTAAAAAGAAATCGTTTTGCCAATCTACTCAAAAACATAGTCTAACGTAAATTAACTCATCAAAAGTAGTAAACTGACAGAAGGAAAGCCGTCGGGGTTAAGCGTCACACAGAATAAAAGGCAAAATCAAAACTTGTACTTTATCGCGCTTATTGTTAGATCTTAATCAAATGGGGAGATTGCTGTAACCAGCAAATAAGCTGCTGCATTTATAGATCACATTCCGGCATCGCAGACATGTTTTGCCCAAAACCATAGGATACAGCAAAAAGCAATACAGCAACGCAGCAAAAAAATCATAGGGTACAGGAAAAGTTGGTGATCACTGAGTACCGACCAAAATAATTAAAACTAAAAATTCGAAATTGATGTATTTTTCGGTCCAGCTTTATTTTACCATACAACAGCTTCTGGCGTTCGCTTATTTTGAACATACCACAGCGCAGCAGTCTGTTTTGGAGTAAGCAGTTTTTCAGTATAAAGGTTACGTTATGTCTCGGTGGTTGTTTACGAAAGCTGTCGCCAACTGGAACTGGATGACTGATTTCTTAATGATGATAATTTCTTTGAGATAATGATATCTTAATTGTCGTGTTTACCGATCAACTGCTGTGTTTTCAATGATAATATCGCCTGATACCTGATAAACCGGTTATTAGGAATTGTTAAGCGATATTGATCTATAATAATATTTGTTATCTCAGTTCTCAGTAAAGTGACATCCGCAATGGTAACTAACAATTATTATATGAATATCCCTTTACTTAAATAATGCAACGATGATTGTATCACCATTTAATGCTGCCCCTAAGCAAAATAAGCACACACCCTGGATAGCTACTAAAATCTTGAGTACTATTTATACTGGACCCGGTGGACCGGTACTGCTGCTCAAAATCATGCTTCGATATCCGATATAAGTTTATGCGTGTTCCATTATATTCGTATTTTGCATTCAAAAATTAAGCAGTTCGCAGCACCGGTACGTTATGGAATCGTTAATCATGCACACTTAGACAATAAGATTACATGTAGAGTTCATTTCTTGAGCAACCATGCAACGAACGAGGTCGACAGTGCCTTGCATTTAATTCTGCGCTCAGTAAAAAGCTGACGAAAAACTCACCAACTGACTAACTTGTTATTCACATCAATCACAAATTAGCTTCCGTTGTTTTCTTAAAGACTGTATTTTGTTTGAACCATGGCTGGTAGGAAAACTGTGCTACTGGTGACGACAGTGGTGTTCGGTGCGTATGGGTAATTCCTATGGCAACTTTTTCGTCACGTGAGGCGAGATTTTAAACACTTCGGTGAAATCGTGGCATTCTACATGTAATACGTATAGGTCAGGTTGCCGTTTCCGGGCAGAACATCCTTACCAGGAGCTGCTAACTGGAAGGGCAGCACCTGCGTGAAGCGGGGATCACTGCGTCTGACCGTCTAGTAGTACGTCCCGTTGGGGTACTTGGCAAAGGTCACGCGCTCACCCTTGGCCGACACATTAGCGGGAATGCCTAAAATAAGAATTAAAGGACCAGTTCCCTTTCAGTTTCAGCCTTTTTGCGCTGGTAACCTTTTGCAACCTTAATATTTAGATTACAATTACTTCTGTAAATGATCAAATATTAGCATTAAATTATTAAACTAAATCCTTAAAACTGCAATTACTTTTAAATTGTAGTTGTTTCTAAAATATTTTTTAACACTTTTAAATAATTAATAACAAGCCCAGCACGGATGAATAATGTCTTAGGATTTCGAGCATGTAAAACGGTTAACTGCATATGTATTAAATAATGGAACGATGTTTATTACATTAAGGAGGCACGAACAAAATAAACAGGCGTGAGCAGAACCTGTTATTTTTGCTAATTCGCAGTTCGCTAATTTCAATGACAGTTCGATATAATAACACATAGTAACAATCTGGGGATTTACAAACAGCCCATGTTAAGCTAATGGCCACCATGGTAACAAGCTTTTGAGTGACCACTGGACTGTGGGAATTGGGCTTTTCAGAAATTTGAAGATGCAGGATTACTCTCGACACTGAGAGGATTCTGTAGAACTTTAGAGCGTGCAGATTGGATGTGTAGAACGGGAGAACATTGAGTACAACGGCAAAGTGTCGAGGACCCTTGTCACGTAGTTAGTATTCATATAATTATTGCTTAATACATATAATTGTTTAATGCTTATCACGGACGCTTGCCTTCACTCCTGGTCGACAAGGTGGCGCAGCGTCCCGAATTCACCGTCAACTGGCAGGCGCAGGTCCTCTTTTTTCCCGATGCCAGCGGCTATATTAACGTAAGTGATTAACCGGCATCGCATGTATTATTTGTCAGACACACAACAATCGCTCCATATGTCGTCCACTAATTTTGCCCACAATGTGCGGCAGTTTGATGTGCAGTCACTATTACTCATCTAGCGCACAAAATCGAGTAACAATGTAGATTTCTTCTAAACAGCTGTAAAGATATTGCGATCTATAATTGTGTGCGCGAGTAAGCGGCTTTTATGCGCAGTCAATATTTTTACGCTAACTTGCCATGATAGCCAAAATGCTTCTTATTTTTCTTGATTTCTGTCAGATATTTATTTTTTTCTGTGGGGTTAGTATTCTATGTGAGCCAGATTCATACTTTGTGAAAATACGGTATAATGAACATCGATTTTGCGGTCACTGTTTGTCGTGCTCCTAATTCTAACTGCCGTTTTACAGATAATCTCGTGACGACACTTGTAGCCTTCACTACTGGAGCCCCATTTCGCCTTGTGGGCAATTAAGATGATGGAGGAGTTATCACTCAGGCTTAACCATGTCTGGCCATTCTGCAGTGCTCACGAAGTTCAAACGCCAAATGCCCCAGTTCTTAGGAACGATCATATGATTATTTTTACAATGTTTGTTAACTTATGCGTATACGTGCATTTTACAGTGGGAAATTCCCACTAGCAACCTTAAACGGAATGTGGACAAGTAAAACAACGACCGAAATCTAAAAATATGCAGTACCGACTACCGAGCTTTTGTCCGTCGTCCCTTGTAAAACTTCAGTGGAAATTTTTATACTGTTGCCACAATCCCACATTTACATATGTAGCAATAAAAACCAATGTCGCGACGCTGCTGCTGGAGAAATCGAGTTGGTTATGCAGCACTTGAATGAGGAATTTAGCTGTGCAAGCTGGAAAAAATGTGAGGCCACCAATGTAGCCAGCAAGCAAGGTTGCGTCAGCAAGTATGACGTAAAAAAGGTTGCGTCACCCTGGAAACACCAGTATACCTGGGAGATTAATTGGTGGGCTACATAAAAAACACGCTATTGAACGTAAAACGATCGTTACAAGCGGGATTATGGATAACTTATGAGTCGAAGCTGTTGTTGGTGTGCACGGTATGCAACATTTCCAGTATCTTGTCCGTGCAGTTGCAAGTTTCTGAACATCTAGTATCGCTTCGATCATACGACAGCAACAGATAGGTTAAATATAATCCCATGAGCTGCAACACAAACAGTTTCCGCATAATTATGCAAAGGTCTGATTGTTCATGAAGGTACATGATATCTTACGGTTATAACAGTTTGGCGGTTCAGCCGAGCGCACGAACCCAAACTCATCACCGGAGGATTGCTCTGCATACTATTTAGAGCCAGCTGATGATGACCTTGATACTGATGACTTTCCAGCAAAGCTTTGTCTAAAAGAATCCGACGAAAAGCCGCTGTAAATTCCTCCACCTAAATGAATAAGTGCTAAGCACAGTTCATTATTAATGACAGCGGCTGTTATTATTGACGATTATTTAAAAGAATAATAATCAGTTTTTGAATTTTACACAATTTATAATCAATTTATAGTCAATCAACAAAGAAAACTGGTGTCATCTGTATTACAATATCAATGTCTATTCGTAGGCCTTGCAAATTGCAAAATCTTATGTGGGTGGAGTCGATAGACTATACCTTGTCGCTCAGATAAACGAAGCATGTTGTCCTCAACGCAACCTGCGCAGACTTCAAGAAAACCACACTACCCGCGTTTGCAAAACCAGCGCCTTCAAAGAAATTTGCGGTGTTGTATACGAGTGACACGATGTCATGAACGTAATAGATAAGAACGCAAATTCCCATCAACCCATCCGTTTCTTCAACAATGATGCTCGTTGTCCGGTGATAACGGAGACACTCATTCAGTCGCACTAGTTTTCGCCCCGGTTTTTGTTCATTGCTGGTGGCCTTTAATTCTTCGGTTATTTGGGCAAAAGCAACGCCACACACCAAAGCGATAATCGCGGTGTACACCAATGCACACAGAATGCCAAGTTCAAAAAATTCCTCGGCAACTTCCATGATCGTTACAACAATACTAATCATCCGCTTGTCAACGGAAAAGGCACTGGCTATATTGGCTACGTTCTGGTTACCCATGCCACCGGCACCGACTGCTCTGTAAACGAATGCCGATTGTAAACTGACTACGAGAATGCATAAAACGAAGGTTGAAGCACAGATGCGATTTTCGGTGTTTTTCTTAATGAACTGTCGGAATAATGGTTCCGATTGGCGGACCAACGCGGACATTTTACGGAAACGTCGGTTGACAATGCAAGGAAAGGTACATCAATGTCCGTGAAGCATTGGCACGCAGAAGAGACCAGTTCGGCAACAGAGCCATTTTGATACTGGATTTTGTGGGCGATTGAAATTACGGCAAGAATAACGGAACTGGACCATAAAACAGCAGCCCAGGGGAGCCACAAAATAATTATAAAGCGGAGCGATTTTCGGCAGAAAGTGAGTTCGGTTGGACATGATACGGTAGTCAAACACAAGGCTACTTCTAAGAATTTGAACACCGACTGCAACATTTTGGCGAACGAAGGTAGCTTTAACAAGTTTGGCTACAAACTGTAGCGTTCATGGTTTGGAGAAAAATTTTCCACCAGTTCCAGTTAAATGTGTGTCTTTGTACAAACAACAAATTGTCTGGATCATCATGTTTTTTGTGTGCCGATCAAGGGTACCAGCGGTTTGCAGTAAATGCCCCTTTGGGATGGGACTGGAAAGCCAACGCTTTGCTAGTAATTACTAATGTCAGTAAAGCGTCTTTCATTTATTTTCAAGCAGGAAGTCATGCACAATTTAAAGGTCACCACGGATCACATAGCAGTTCATAGTCAAGTTTTTCTAAATAATGCGGGGTAAATGGGGCAAAGATGAGGAATCTAACCAGGACCCTACCAGAGGCCCCAGAAAAGTCCATATTTTGTTTGAAGACGGGGTATGTACTGGGAATACTTAGCAAGTATTTTCATCGGCAATGGTCCAGTTTGGCGTGGCCAAAAACAAATTTAAGTACATAATACAAACCCTTATATGTTGTCTATGCAACTACTTATTCCAGTAATCCTGGTGATACTAAGTGCCAGATCTATACTACGTGCGGCGCCCCATAGTTTTCAGATCTCAATAAGCAAACCATTTTTTCTAAAAACTGACACTACCAATAGATCGGCCTCGGTTAAGAAATGGCTCACATGGTTTTCGTTTCTAAATTTGTTCGGCCAGATTCGTGCCGGCACGATGCCCACTTTCAAGGTGACCTTGACACTTAAAAAAAATTCTGCATGGATACAATACATAACACAGATTATTAGGCACACGCAATAAGCCAACATAAATTATAGTTTATTGTATTTATTTTCGTGCCACACCAAGCACAAAATTAATCGCAAGTCGAAATCTCGGTTTCGATACGCGTATTACCGTTAACTTAGAGTACCCTGTGGATAGCTGCTCATTTGGTTATCGTGCCGGCAGTCGTTACCGTTGCTTTTTCGAAATTATGATAGCATATATCTTAACCTTTGCAGGTGGTCAGGCCATCAGCCGACGTGTCATCGACAGAGTCAAATAACCAGCAGATAAAGTCAGAAAGCAGTGCGTTTTACTGCTAACGGTTTTAACAGGCAGCGTTTTAATCTGCTGGACACCTGCCGTTGCAATACTGCCTGTGCTGACCACAAATCAAGATCCCCTAGTCATGTTCTGGATTTTCACCATAAGTGAACTGCAGCCCGTAGTGGGTCCCATAGTTTTCGCCTTATCCATGTCGGATCTTAGGCAATTAACCTTTCACCGCCCTCTAGGTTGAATCGTAAAACGGCGGTACTACACAGTGCTGAAAATGGCCAGTACTGTCTATGCATGTGACCGTCCAAAACGGACGTCAAAAACAAAATTACACCATCTTGCTGCCTCAACCCAGACACTTCAAATTTCTTCAAACCACATCTGCAACTCTCGCTCTTGCTGCAGCTTGACACCTAAAAGCACGAAAAGCTTATTTTACTTCCTCGGTTGCTTGGATTTCTCTTGACAGAATTCTGTATAGTGTTTATATCATGTGTGGTAAACAAAAATGAAATACGCCGAAATGAAAATGAAATATCGCGGAATTATATCTGCAACCTACATGATATATAGATGCCACAGTAAGTAGTTTTGTTTATTGTTCGGATAAAGCAATCTTCCATACGCGCCGATCAGGACTAGCACAGCAAGATGGTGTACTCTGTATAAGCACTAAAACTGTAGACATTCTGCGTTCATAAAGGTTTACTTGTCAAGCATCGTAAAATACAACAATGTTAAAGCCATTCAGCCGAGCTCAATTTGCCCGTTGACAGTTACGATAAGGCAGAGGTAATAACAACATAAAGCAGGTTCTAAAGTAAAACCGATTAGTTTCAGATTATAAGCAATTTTATCGGCTTGTTTTCGTACGAGCGATAGCTCGCTGTTACAGCGGTTTACAAACACGTGTAATAAAACGCTTTACGATCGATATTAAAACAAACAGCTTTTAAAAGTATTTTATAAAGCTTGTGCTGAGCGGACGATCTCCGTGAGCTACATAAGAGTGTTAGAAACAAGCAGTTTATTAGTCTCCAATCGCGAACAGATTCTCATAACAGTCTCCAAAACAGTCTTTATGATTGACAACTCCAATGCAGAAAGCGATGGGAGATATTCCAGAGCAGCTGCAAGGCATTCTCAGATATCTTAATGCAGAGAATGTAAACGCTGCTAGAACTATTTTGGGACTACTTCCGCGTCTTTTGATTGCTCCTTTGAAAATAGAATCTTGACATGTTTGGAGATAGGTGTAATTTTGACGTCACTTACAGTGCCACAATATGGTTTGTACTCTTTATGCCTGCATAATACGTCCAGTTTTCGAGCTTTGAAGTTTTTTTCTTTCCGTTACAGTCCTTGCTGTTACTGTATTGCGGGCAGTTGCTGCCGCTCTTCTTGAACACAATGCGAAGGCATCGTGTGTTCAAGAAGAGGATTCTATCCAAAATGCGCTTCGCCGTCATGAATGTGGCAACCATGTTGATCGTTTAAAAGGTAAATTAAGTAAATGACGTAACGCTAATTTTATCGCAAACTATACAGATACTAAATTCAAAACTTTAAATGACTATAGCAGCACCATACAGGATGCAGCCAAAATAAAACCATCTCAATTTGCCTACTTTAACCGGCTTAGTACTGTACTTTCACGCTGTCTTCACAAGCTCGAAATTTACGTTTTGAGGAGTGGCCAAGTAAGATTGACTGATTGAGAATATAGGATAGCAAGTGCCAAAAGTAACCAAATATATATCGCATCCATGTTTAAGCAGCACGGCCAGCGATCGGCAATTTGGTTTCTGTCAGTGCCGTTCCGAGATCTATTATTACCGAAATCGCTTGTTGAAGCATCTGTTTGTACAGTTACTAATTGTTGCATTACGCAAAACAGAAGCAGGCTAATTGTAAGCATGTCGCAGTAAAAGTGCTAATGCCCTACAAAATCAAAAGGTGGACAAGAGTAAATGAAAGGTTTCATTTTGCTTCTTACAGCTCTTATGGCAGATGTGGATTCTGTAATGACAAGATTAAAGACAGATACGAATGACGACAATCGGGATCCTCCTTCAGCCCAACAGATAGCAACCAATTACAACATTCTGACGAACGGACATCTGATGGCAAGCGCTGCTTTTTTCGGTAAAACTGTAGAAATTGTCAAATACACCTCAAAGGATATCGTCGAATTGAAAATCAACTTTGCAGATCGAGTGGGAACCATATGCTCAAAGGGGGAAGCTCCGGTGTACTTGGCTTTACTGAAAACGATTGCAGTAGTGGCAACTCATTACCTGCTTTTCGAAAACCTTCGGATCACTTTGATAGCAGCAGTACAAGGCTCTCCAGGCGTACGCGAGCAGACACTAGTCTGGAAGCGGCATTTAGCAGAAGCGCTCAACGGCATGGCCCTTGTTAACGAAGACAAAGTGCACTTTGCTGTCTGCTATATGACATCCGCGTCAAATACCATGCTGGAAAGATTTCGACAGGAGGTTGGCTGCAGTGCATTTCTTCAGAACAACGCCCCGCTGTTTACAAGGAAGGCAGTTATCGTATCCAGAGCGGGCGTAGACCTTGGAGATATTCTGCCCGATCCTTTTATACGTGAGAGACGATCCGCTTACGTTCAGGTAAGACGTGAATAAAGCCAGTTAGTCAACCGATACCCGATACGCTTCTACTTAACATTACTTTGTTTGATGAATACGTACCCGTAGTCCGTACACTGCGTTTCAACTTTGAGGTTACGATTCACTCGGCGCACTACCGTACTCTTTAAAGACTACACTCAATGATTACCTTTCGTGCAGTGCAATACCATATCCGCGCACAACATTTGCTCGGTGCTCTACCATTCGGCCGCACCTTTATCTTCCGTGGGCAGCTTTTTGGGATTGCGGGAAATTTACTTCCGTTGTTTATCTGTATTGTCTAGCAGCAAGCACAGCCAATATTTTTGCTTTACTGTATCAAAGGCAGTAATAAACTTGGTCGGAGTATAGTTAAGTACTTTCGATGCCCACACATCGGTCTTATAAGATTTATGGTGCCGAACGAAAGCAGAGCCTTAAAACATGATGCAGCGAGCAAAGGCTGTACAAAGGTGTCTGCAGACTACCTCGCAAATCCGTAAAGAAGATACTTTTCGAGTGCTAACCTTATCTATTGATCTAAACTAATAAGCTGTTGTTTAATGTTCTAGAATGCTTCCATTCGCGCGGCTGGTGTTGTCGCAGTTATACTTGCACACGGTGTTGCCGTGTCACGGCTCTGCTTAATTCAGAACCTGTAAGGACACTTTGGCGGATAAGATTAGCTGAAAATGGAAGTTCCAGATTATATCGTTGTTGTCCCAATGGACTGCTGGCATTTGGTATCCCGCACATTATTGAATTAGAGAGGCTCAATGGGCAATTTGTCTTTATAAAGCTGATTGACGGTTCTACGTTAATTTTGGATAAGCTTACCAACGCGTTTATCACCAAGAATTTTAGCGCCAAAAGACAAGGAAATCAGATTATTCCGGGCGACGACGGACATTGGCTTATACAAGAAGTCTGGTAGCTTGTGTATAATTAAAAACTGAATGTGTTCTTATTTTCCTACTGCTACAAGCTGAAGAGTTAAATTTGTTGGGCAGCAACGCAAAACAAAACACAAAACTATCACAAAAGTTTAGAGTTCAAATACTCGCACTTCATTTCCGTTCGGTTTCGCAAGTATATTAAATTAAGTATTTAACGTGGTGCGAGCCTTGCGAGGAACGGAAAGACTAAACATCTTATGCGAATCAGCCTGTGCCAGTCTAGCGAGGAAGAGCTATACAAATATCCTTATCCGGTGTTCCAATGCTCTCCAGAAACTTGAATACCAACCGGATTTACGAATTGACTACCGCTAAACTTACTTGTGACTTGCACAACAGGAGATTCTAGCGCGTGACTTCCGGTAATAGTGTCAGACATCTGCGCTATAATTAACGCTTTGTCAATATTCAATAATCGCATGCTCTGACTTCTGGTTAACCATATGTAGAATTGTAAAACGCCTGCGACGCAGGAGCAGTGGATCTCCTGTATCTGTACTGCTATCCAGCAAGACAGTACGCCTTACGCCAGTCTTAGCAGAACTGCAGCCTCTTCAGTACTAAAGGGTTTCTGGTGAACTGATTGGTGTAAAAAATTCAAATTTTCTTTTGTAACGGTGAGTGTATTCTGCCGCACTTTCCGGTTCACAGCGATCATGAGCGGTATGACTAATAACAGCTCAATAATAACTCCATGACGGTACTACCGCCAGCTGCGCCACGTGCAGTAACTGTGAGAACGTCGGGAATTTCGAGGATACAATTGTGGATTTGGAGCCGCGTGGAGGATCGCTTAGGCTCGCACCGAGGACGTAGCGAAAGCTGCAAGGGGTGTGAGGAGAGGTAGCACGACAACTCTATGACCTTCATCTCGCTGCCCGACAATTTGCTGACCGACTTGTTGCTGACTATCACAACTTGCTGACCGACAAATCGTTGACCGACACTTCCTTTTCTACAAACTTGCTGACCGACATCTTGCTGAAACCAATTTGCTGAACGACAACTTACTTGTCGGTCAGCGAAATGTCGGTAATCGACAACTCGCTGACCGACAACTTGTAAAAAACGAAAACTTGCTGACCGACAATTTGCTGACCTGTTCAACGCACATAAAGCAAAATTTACGCGAAAATTAAAATCTACGTTTATTTCATGAAAAAGAAGCACTACAGTGACATTTATAACTGAAATCTGTTGTTTGTTGTTGTTGTCTTAGTTAATAATAATTATTTATTAATAGTTTTTATATATATATATTATATTTATAATTACACCGGTGGTATTCGGTCTGCGGCGTAAGTATCTGTATCACCATCAAAACTCAAAATTTAAACTTGTATCGTTAGTGGTAAAGTGTTTCTGCACAGCGAGAACGGATTTCGTTACTGCATATGCGCACAATAGCATCCTGCTGTTTGCACAACCTGGAAACAAATATCTGCCAGTAACAGTATTGTTCATTGCATTTGTACTTGTAGCATCTTTGTAGCCTTTATTCGAAATGGTGTTTTTGTTTATTTGTTTATCACAATGATTCGATGGATAACAAAATAAACTGGTGGTCAGCGAGTTGTCGGTATTTCCACGAATCGTCGGTCAGCAAAATGTCGGCCAACAAATTAGTATGTAAGCAAATTGTCGGGTAAACATTTTGTCAGTCAACAAAATGTCGTCAGCAAATCGTCGGTGTCAGCAAACTGTCGTTCAGCAAAATGTCGGTCAGCGATTCGTTGTTTCAACAAACTGTCGGGTCAACATTTTGTCGGTCAGCAAATAGTCGTCAGCAAGTTGTCGGTCAGCAAGATGTCGGTCAGCGAGTTGTCGGTGCGCCGTGAGGAGAGAAGCGGCTCATATACAGCGACAAAGTCTTTCAAGGATTTTCAACACTTTGCGCCGTGGTGCAGTGGCACTGCCTACGCGGATCTAACGACGTAGCCGGGGTTCGATTCCCCAATCGGCGCATTTTTCGGCCGTTTCTCGGTTTCCCTCGGATGGCGCCTGCTGAGACGCGTATATGAACATTATTTACCTACCTGATGCACCGAACTTAGGTAATCTAAAACCTTTTATGCGAGTCATAATGCGACTCAGCCTCTTGCGAGACAGGATTATAAATTACATCACTCCTAGTGTTCTAATGCTGTCCAGAATCTTGAGACGCAAACGGATTTACGAATTAATTACCGCCAGACGCACGTAGGACTTGCAAAACAGCAGGTTACAAGCGCATGACTTCCGGTAGCACCACCAGACATCCGCTCTATGATTAACGATTTTCTGTCAATACTTAATAACCTCCCAATCGGACTTTCTGATTAACTGGAGTGGCGGTAAAAACCCTTGCCAGCCGCGAAGCCGAAGCAGTACCGATCTTATACTGCTATCCTGCAAAAAAGGTACTGTACATTATATATAAATCTTGAAAACAGCACCGCGATGTCGTCATTCGTGTCACGACTGGGGTGGAATCGTAAACTGGTGCATATGAATGTAAAGCCATTTAAATTCTCAAATTTGCGGCTAGTATATTTTGCCATACCTTTTGCGATCCAGCGCAATCATGAATGCTCTGACTAACAACAGCTCATCTACCAACTACTCGAGTGACGTTTGTAGTGCTGCCGCCAATCCGGTGACCTGGTCACTTAACGCCATCGTATCGCTCACACTGTCTGCTTCCATCTTTGCACTAAACGGAGTTGTGCTGGCATTTTATCTTGGTAACTGGCGCTTGCTTAAAGACTTCCATGTCTACGTTTTCGCACTCTTATTCGCTAATTTTCTGTATCCAGTGTGTTATGGACCGACTGATGTGATCAATAACATATTCGCGGTCTGGTGCTGGGGTTCGCGCTGGTGTACGTTTTATAATTACGCCAGTAACGCCATTCCTTTCATGGCAATTTGTCTACATGTAGCCATCGCCATTAGCCGATTCTGTGCAATGATATTTCCACTCAGTACCGTCAACGCCACACTACGCGTGTCGCTGTAGCGGTGTATGGCATCTGCTGGACTGCCGCTCATTTGCTTGTCGTCCCGGTTGTGCTTGTAGATGCGCTGATCTACAGGAAACCGGAAACCCTAGCCGGATGCGTTATAAATTTTCGCTGGCGCCGGCTCAGCAAGCTTGGCTATACTTTGCCCAAGCTATTAGTTTCGCTATGCTGGTCGTTGTGCTGGCCCAGTATCCCGTAGTTCTCTACATAAGGCGCAAGCGCTTACGTAAGCTGGGACAGATGCGGCATGACGATTCTCAAAAGACCGGTAAATAATTTGCACACTTCGATCACTAAGCAGAAGCAGCTTGCCAGAGAACCATAATTCTTTATAGGCGAACATACGCAGCCGGCGGATTCATCATTGACTCAACGAAAGAAACAACAGAGAAAGGCAGAAAGCAGTGCCTTCCTCTTGCTAACAATATTGACCGCCAGCGTTCTAACTTGCTGGACACCATCCGTCCTTGTGTTTCCCTTCTATACCATTTCGGAAGACCCTGTCGTCATGTTCTGGATTTATACGTTGTACGAGTTACAGCCAGTGATTGATCCCATAATCTTCGCTCTATCATTGCCAGATCTTCGTCGGATAATATTTCGGCGACGTCACTGATGGCAAGACCCTTCAGTTTTCTTTTTGTCGAACCAAGGGCCGGTCAACAATATCTTAGTGAGAATTTTTTTAAGTGACATAACAATAAAATCCTGCTCGTATTGCTTTTGCGTATATTTCACACCGATTCTTAGTCGTGAGCCAGTTGTTTTGGTAGCAAAGAAAAGAAAATCAATTATATAGTGTTATTCGGATCCGGGGCTTTGTGGGAATAACCAATATTTTCTTAAATGATTTAACAACTATTCTTATTTGGGCTCTTATCAGGATTTCAGCGGACGCCCAGCCACGCAATATTACAACCTTTCGACGATGCTGTTAGAAAATCTCAACTTGAATTATCAACTTGTGCCTGGAGAAGCATCTGGCTGTGTGTACCGTAGACTGAAATGACAGAAGGTCCTCTATCCAGCTGTGATCAAGACTATTAAAATAAACAAATCACATGATACAAGAGATGAATTAATAAATGCATGCTCTGGCTTGCGCTCATCGCTGATTAAAATTTGCTTTGTTATCTGTGATGAAATAACGTACAAATATCCATCTGCCGAATGACAAAATGTTGTGTAGCCTTCTTGGTGCGTGTTGTCTTTCCCTTATCTTATTATTTTATCTATCTAAAGGTTTTTGTAACTGTGGATTAATGTGCCCGTGCTTGCGCTATTATTATTTTGATGGCTATTGTCTATTAAAGCAGTCCTTAAATGATTGTGCACGCTGATGCTGTAAGGGACGGGACCTGTTTCTTTACGTTGATTCCTCTCCTCTGCTGCATATAAATACTCGTTGCCATTAGTTGAATGTGAAAAATCTTCGTGAAAAGATTTATTACCGATTGTGTCCTATTCTGATAAGAAATTTACAAGCATGCGTGGTGATAGTATGATTTTTACGTATGGGCAGTCCCGGATTCCCGGGAATCCTGCTGGAAGCAGCAAAACGCGGTACACCCCGTTTACGGGAAGAATCGGCACGTGCAGGAATGTGACTTAATTTGTCGTTCTTAGAGAGCTTTCTTTGATCCCTTGTTTTTCATTCAAAGCTCTGTCCAA